TACTGTGCAACATGACAGCTGCTAGCCAGTTGTGCCTAAGGAACACTTGAAATGTGGCTGGTCTGAGTTGAGATTCACTGAATAGTTAAGATACACAGCAGACGTGGAGGTCTTACTGTGAGTGAGAGAATGTAAGTGATCACATCAGTATTTTTTCTTCTATTGATTTCATGTTGAAATGGCAATGTTTTAGACATATTGGGCTGAGGAAAATATATTATTAAAATTAATCACTCCTGCTTCTCTTTATGTTTTACAGTGTTGAAAGTGGTATCAGTGGCGTGTGTCATATTTCTGTTGGTTAGTGCTGCTGTATGATTAAAATCAAATGACACAGACTTTGACGATAACACCCACCCAGTTCTGGAACACTGAACAATGTCTCAGGCTTCTTTGTATATTAGGTTCTCATTTTGAATCCATGTTTTGAATAGAATGAAATAATAAAAAAACGAGTTGTTGCCAGATGCTGGTGGCTCATGCCTGTCATCCTAGTTACTCAGGAAGCTGAGATCTGAGGATTGTGGTTCAAAACCAGCCTGGGCAGGAAAGTCTTGTGAGACTTTTATCTTTAATTAACCACCAACACTCCACACATCCCCTCTCCCCAGCCCCGCAAAATGTAAGTAGAACTGTGACTGTAGTGGTAGAGTATTAGCCTACACACACACACACACACACACACACACACACACACACACACACACACACACACACACACACACACACACACACACACAGTTACAAGTTGCCTTCACTTTCTTTCCTCCTGCATTCCCTTGCTTGAGTCTCATGCCACTCCTGTGATCTATAGCTACTCTGACCATACCCAGTCTCCACATAGGGAAACGGAGACTAGGATTCAGAAACTAGCCCATGGCTCTTTTGCTAACAACGGTCAGACTTGAGTTTGACCCCAGGGCCGTCTGCAAACAGAACATATCTGAGCTAATTAAAGTTTTTGGTAATTAGGAAGGAATGATGCCACCATGACCCTGGGAAAAACCTCTCTGTCTTTCTGTGCTTTGCCTTTAACATGAAGGGATTGGGCCTGGGTGCCATTGGATACCCCGGGGGTTGTGTGCATGTAGAAGGATGTGTTACAGTGATCCCATTAGGGTTGCGTTTGCCCTGTGATTCGTGTTTTGCGCATGCCCGGTGATGTCTGGTCAAAGAGGACGAAGAGAATAGACTGAGAGATGGGAAAGCAGGATGGAGACATGTTTAGTAGGGATGGAAAATTCTGTATGGAGTTAGGACTGTTGTGGAAGGTCAAACATCTCATGAGATGGTCACCCAGAGAAAGCCTGGCGCCACGCGGAGGAATGACCTCAGCTTGAGTAAAGAGTGTGACTTTCTTCCTGACACTGAAAACTCAGGAGAGTGTAGGAATGCAATGGAAATACACAAAGGAAGGATCAAAGAGAGGTAGGTAGAGCTCATATAGTCTAATCTGGGGGTGGGATGGGTGGGGGGGGAGAGTGGGAAGGGATCTGCAGGCAGACTTTGCCTTCAAGACCAGACTTTGCCTTTAAGTTAAGTAGGATCTGAACTTTCCCAAGATGCACCATCCTTATCTGTTGTTTGCTGGAAAATGGGACAGTGGCTGTACTGTTGTATGTGACAGAAATGAAGTGACACACAGCAAAGAGGCTGTTGCATTAGACTCGTTTCTCATGTGACAACTCCACTGCCTATGGACAAGTGACTAAAGCAAGTACCCTCTTAGCTCAGCGTGGGCTAACTACTAATCAGATTACAGTGAATGGAAGTGCTTGTCATCATCTCAGATTGCATTCTTCTTCTACTATGTGGTTTTTGGTGAGGTTACTTAACTTCTCTGAGTATAGGGCAGTTTGCCTATAAATGGAGATGAGTGACCTGGATGACCCAAGGCCTTTTCCACTCCCAAGATGCTGTGCAATTCTGGAAATAGGATTTATTTTCACTTGGAAAGGATAAAGGGGGAGGGTAATTAAAAAATAAACTCCATAGCTGGCCATCTGTGGCTCATGCCTCTAACCTTAGCTACTCAGGAGACTGAGATCTGAGGCTCCTGGGCGGATAAATCCATGAGACTTTCATATTAGCCAGCAAAAAGGCAGGCGTAGAAGTATGGCTCAAGTGGTAGAGCACCAAGCATGAGCAAGAAACTTAAGGGAGAATACGAGACCCTGAGTTCAAGCCCCAGTACCGACATACACGCAAAAAGAACTTCATATATCCATGTATGATGAGTCCAAGTTTGAGGGCTGGGGGCCAGCTTTTTGTCTTCTGAGGACAGACGATGAGGCAACACACTTTAATGGTTTGATGAGACATTTGGAAGACCTGGGGAGAGAGTATCAAGATGTCATGAGAGCAGGCTGTGGACTGCGTGCTCCAAGCTCATTAAAACAGACGGTTTTGCTGACACTCACCTTAGATGGAGCTTTATCACACAGGTTTTCCCTCACTCCCCGTCTAAAGTAGCCCCCCACTCCTGCCACATTTTCCTGCCATATTGCTGTCGTTTTCCTCGCCAGCACTTGGGACTGTTCATAGTTGTGTCTTTATTTTGTATTTAGCAGTGGAGCTCTGTCTTTTGAGACTATAAACCACCCAGGGGCAGGGCTGGTCATTATTTAGTCACTTCCCGTGTCCTTACTCCCAGGACAGAGGCTGTCACATGGTGGCAGTCAGCAAATATTTTTTGAATTAGTAGATGGATGTGGATGAGTATCTTTCAGGTGGCTGATTTTGTGGTCATGATTTTTGGTGGAAAACTTGCTCTTTTTTTGGGGGGGGGTCTCTCAAAAGATTTCAGGTATTCCTTTTTTCCCTCCCTCCATACCTCCCTCCCTCCCTCTCTTCCTTTCTTCCTTCCTTCCTGTTGGTGCTTGAACTCAGAGCCTCAAATACTTGCTTGGCTTTTTGCTTGAGGCTGACATTCTATCCTATGTACCACACCTCCTCTTGCAGCTTTTGGCTAATTGGAGATAAGAGTCTTATGGATTTTTCTGCACAGGATGGCTTCAAACAGGAATTCTCAGGGATACTCAGCCTCCTGAGTAACTAGGATTATAGGCATGAGCCACCAGTACCCAGCTTGTTTCTTGAGTTTTCCTAGGGTGCCTGGGTACTTTTTCCTCATGTACTGTTTTGGGCAGAAGAGATGGAAGGGGAAGGTTGAATTCTCTTGGAGTCAAAAGAAAGCCTGATGGACAGGGCCTGATGGCATTGCTTATTTCCAGTGACATTTCTAAAAGCACTCTTTGCTCCTTGTGGTACTTGGTAGGCTGCTGTACCAGCCAGGATCACTGGCATCTTGCTCCCAGTAGAGGTTGGCCAGTGGGAGGGGGCATAGTAGAAGATGGAGGCTGTGGGGAGAGAGCAATCGGGCCATGCATTGGTTCCTTGATTTTCTGGCTTTGGGATCCTGTGCTGCAAGCCCCAGCCCTATTGGGGCTCTGCTATGGCTTTCTCTCCAGGTTCTGGCTTACACTTTTCCTCTGTCTCTCCAGGAATCACAGTGGAGGTGACTCCCCAGCACACTTCATCATTCCTTTTTGGTTCCCTTTACCCCTTCCATACCTCAAACTTCCAGTTCTCCCATGCATGTGGCCATTTATTTCTATGACTGTTGTGCAGGACACCACTAAATTAACTTCTGTGTGGGTATCTCTCTTTCTCCTTTCATTTCCTTCCTTCCTTCCTTCCTTTTTTCATTCCTTCTTTCCCTCCCTCCCTCCCTCCCTCCCTCCCTCCCTCCCTCCCTCCCTCCCTTCCTTCCTTCCTTCCTTCCTTCCTTCCTTCCTTCCTTCCTTCCTTCCTTCCTTCCTTCCTTCCTTCCTTCCTTCCTTCCTTCGCATCCTATATTGGAGTTTGAGAAGTATCAAAGTATTTACCCACTCACTCTGCTCTGTTTCAGGAGCACTGATGATTCTGGCCACCATTTTTGCTCAGTGGGCCAATAGGTTACTTTCATTATTATAACTAAATGCCTGATATAATTGACTCATCAACAGGAACGGTTGTGCTGGCTCACAGTTTTAGAGGTTCCATTCCATAATCAGACAGACTCCATTGCTTTGGGCTTCTGGTGCCAGATGTTAACAGTTGGGGGAGTGTGTGGTTAAAGCAAACTGTTTACCTCATAGCCAGGAAGCAAAAGAGGAAGAGTCAGAGGCCACACTCCCAATGATCCAAGGACCTCCCACTAGGCCCCGCCTCCTAAAGGGTCCATGACTTCCCCTAGCACCATCCTGAATACTTAACTTTGAACACATTTGGAGCACATGCAACATTCTAAATTAAGTACCCAATGACCTAAAGCTCCAGAGACTTAATAAAATTCCTGATGTATTTCAACCAAATGACCTGTAACTCTAACTTTCCTTTTTTTCCATGGTTGGGCATTGTGACTCCAATCTCTCTGGTTGTCCATGGGGCAAAGGCTCTATACCCGCCCCCCCCACCCCCCCACCCCCCCCCCCCCGCTGCTGCACTCCTTCATTTTCCTTGGCTTTCCAGGCCTCCACTTCCCCTCTGCATGGGTGACATCAGCCTCTCTGGAGTAGGGAAGAACTGGCTGGTCATCATACTCAAGGGGAGGTAATGGGGAGAGTAATTAGGGCAATGTTGGTGATACTTTTCTGCCCCACAGAACAGCCCTGGAGCACTGGACATTGTTTCTTCCTTTGTAGATGGAGAAATAGGCTCCAGGTTCCTGCTGCACGTGCTCAGGGTTATAAAAGCAGAAAATAGGGGGAGGGAGCAAGGCTGAGACTTAATGCCACCCACGAAGGTGTGGACAGGGCTGGGATCTAACTCTGGGGCTGTCCGAGGAGACTTGGGAAAGCTACTTTCCACTCTAATGTTCCTGTGCCACCAGGAGGAGGGGGCACAGGCTATTTTGAGTCCTTCCCAGGAGCTCTGGTCCCTGCCTGTCCTCAAGGACTGTCTTTGCCATCTTCTCTGCTTCCAGTGGCCTGACCTGCCTTTCTGTGTTTGTTTGTCAGAAGTGGAGCTGCCCCTGAAGAAAGATGGGTTCACATCAGAGAGCACCACTCTGGAAGCCTTGCTCCGCGGTGAGGGGGGGGAGAAGAAGGTGGACGCCCGAGAGGAGGAAAGCATCCAGGAGATACAGGTACTCCTGCGCCCTCTGGGGCGTGCTACAGAGCAGCCCTGTAACTCCATGTGCTCCCCTGCGCCCCCCCCCCCCCCCCCCAGGCTTGGGTCAAATCTCAGATGGCCTTGTAGCACCATTGGTGGGAATCTCACAAATTCTTTCCTGATTTAAAACATCCCCCCCAGAAGTCACTGCTCCCCTTCCATCTTTTCCTCTCCCCAGCTTCCCTAGTATTTATTGAGCTTGCTACGTCCTGGGGACATGATGATGATCCAGGCAGGCAGTCCTTCCGGTGTAATGACCAGTCTGTCCTTCAGGTCTTCCGTAGCACTCCCCCCCCCCCCCCCCCCCCCCGCCCATCCTCTGTGGCCTCCATGGCCTGTCTGACCAGAAAGGACAATGTGTCCACAACCCTCTGTTCACACAACATCACTAAAGCTTGCAAATACAGAATTGTAACTATGAATTTCTACCATTTCTTACCTGCCTTTTTTGAGGGGTGGGGTGGAGTGGGAAATAGGTCTAGGATTTGAACTCAGGTACAAAGATTTGAACTCATTCTTGGTAGGCAGGCCCTCTACCACTTGATCCATGCCTCCCATCCTTTCTGCTCTGGTTATTTGCAGGATAGGGTCTCTGTTCCCGAGGCCAACCTGGGCTGCGGTCTTCCAAATTGTATATCTTTGCATCATTGGGGATGACAGGCACTCACCACTATACCTGGCTAGTGGTTGAGAAACTGCCCCTGTTCCTCACATGGATATATATTAGGATTTGCTCAGCTTAGCACTTTGTTTTGTTTTGTTTTTGGTTGTGGGGCTTGAACTCTGGGCCTGGGCACTATCCCTCAGCTCTTTAGCTCAAGGCTAGCGCTCTACTACTTGAACCACAGCACCATTTCTGGTTTTCTGGTGGTTAATTGGAGATGAGAGTCTCATGGACTTTCCTGCCTGGGCTGGCTTTGAATCATGACCCTCAGATCTCAGCCTCCTGAGTAGCTAGGATTACAGGCGTGAGCCACAAATGTCTGGCTCATAATAACACTCTTGATTGCTTTCTCTCCCCTTCCCCCAGTCCCCTAGTAATCAATAGGCTTCACTGAGGTTCATTATGCTGGCTTCATCCATAGTTATGCTATATTTCAAAGTTACTTGTCCTCTACGTTTCTTTTTCCCTTCCTTTTCTCCTCTCATGAACTTCTGTGATCAATCACAATCCCCTCAGCTCTGCCTCTCAAGTAGCTGGGATTACAGGCTTGAGCCACTGTGCCCAATCTGTTTTAATTACTTCTGATCCTGAAACATAATCCTATTATTTAAGCTTCCTCTGTAGCTGAGTTTATACATGCATACCACCATGCCCAGCCTTTTCTGTTGAGATGGAGTCTCATGAAATTTTTTCTCTTGGCTGGCCTCAAACTATAATCCTTCTCATCTCTGCCTCCTGAGTAGCGAAGATTATAAGCATGATCCACTGTGCACAGCTTTGCCACTAGTCTTGAATCTATATTTATCTACTAGTATGTAGGACACAGAGTGTTGCAATAAGATTAGTTTATACTAATATAAAATAACATTAATAATTAAATAGGATTCAGTAACTTATGTTTGTATTAATTTGAATATGACAATTTTATGTTTTTGTCATAAATTACAATTGTATTAACTTTATGTTCAACTTAACACTTAAAGACTCCATTAATCTATTAAAATGATCATTAAATCAATAGTTACAATAACCCAGTTTTGATTTGCTTGGTAAGTACCACTGACTTGTGAGTTCCACCAAGTCAGAGACCACGCTGTTGTGTTCATTATGGTATCTTCGGTGGCTTGTTCACGCCATCTCCACGGAGACAATAGATTGAGTCAGTGACTGTATCTTCCTTCTCCACCATTTCTGTGCTAAGAGGAATGTTAAATCTTTTCTGCTTAGTGGCTACCACCTGGCTTCTATTTGTTCCCTCCTCTCCTTTCCTTTCTGATGCCTGAGAAGACTATTACAACAATAATTCCTCGAAACATAGTAATTGACATTCATAACAAAATGGAGTGAAAGAGGTAGAGATTTCCCTTCTATACTGTGCCCCCTCACTAGCAACTCTCCCACCGCTTTTATTACCACCGATGAATCCATATTGACACCTGATTTTCACCCCAAGTTCAAAGTCTACTTTAGGGTTCACTCTAGGTGTGGTACATTCTACATTTTATGTGTTTGGATAAGTATACAATTGCATAGATCACTATTACAGTAGTATGCAAATTAACTTCATTGTCCTCCACCTTTCCTGGGCTCTGCTCCTCCTTCTGCCCCATCTGAAGTGGGACCGTGAAGCAAAGGAGTTTAACTGATATATTGACTTTAGTTGTGAAAATGCACATGTGGTAAATAGGCTGTTCTTTTTTCTTACCACTTATCCATCTACCCACCTACTCATCGACATTCCATCTATCCACTTATCCATCCATCCATCCATCTCCCATCTCTTGGCCAAAATAGCCAAATGGGTAGGGACAGGCCAAAACTTGTCCTCTCTACCCATAGTCTAGTATGACAAACAGACAGAAAATAAGTAAGCCAATTGCATTTTGGTATAAATGGGAATGTGTAGTTTCAGTATAAGAGGAGGGACAGAATCTGGGCAGTGTCCTAAAAGAGAGGAAGGGTTTCACTTTGTTTTTCTGCTGAGGAGCTGGTGAGAGAACCCCAGGAAAACTTTGTAGGCAGAGTAGCGGGCATGGAGCCCCGGAGGCAGGTCAGAGCTGCTCATGCCCAGAACACAAATAAGGCCCTTGTAGCTGGAGAGCCAGACCTCTTGGGCCTTACGGGACATATTAGTGGCTTTTGGCTTCATGTAAAATGAAAAAGGAAGCCAATTGGAGGATTTTAATCAGGGCAGTGAATTTATATTTCATAAAGATCCCTCTGGCATTGCAGGGAGAGGAGATTGGATGCAGGGCCAACAATGCACAGAGAAAGAGAGACACTAGTTAGGGAGATTTTGAAGGGTTTCTGGCCAGAGATAACAGACTCTTAAAAAGGAATGATTATTATTATAACACCAGCACACATCACTGTTATCATCACTGTAGACTATTTCGAGTCGCAGGGGGAAAGGTTATTTTAGAATGTGTTTATGTTCCAGATAATGTCATTGGATGGGGACTGCCCATATGTTATGGGGGACAGTTGATTTTATGTTGGCTCTGCCCCATCTCTCACTCCAGAACCACAGCTCTTTCTCTGCTTCTCGAGTCCCCATGAGCTGTGTTTGTAACTTCTTCCAGAGCTGCATGGAAGGAAATGGAGACACAGAGGGCTGTTGCTGGTACAGAGGCCCAGGGTGTGAACTGGGGGGCTTTGGAGTCACTGGGGGCTGATGGTAAGAGGGAAGGAGAAATCAGTTCACTCTTGATTGGTGAGGTCGAGAGGCAGCAGTACTTGGGGTGGGGACCAGCTTAGTTGCCTTTACCAATCTTTTACCTGCCATGCCAGAGTCTGCCATGCAAAATGACAGTGAAGTCAGAACTGTACTGAGATGCGAGGGGCAATGACCTTTGAATTCCAGGCTCTTGGAACATACCGCTATGAAATGACTTCAGGATGGAGAAAATTTGTAAGATAGCTGTACAGTCAGCTGTACAACAGTTAGGAAAACTTCACCTTGTATTTATACCACCTTTTTTTTTTTTTGTACCAGTACTGGGGCTTGAATTCAAAGGGCTTTATGCTCTTGCTTAGCTTTTTCTGCCCAATGTTGGTGCTCTTACCTTTTGAGTCATACTTCCACGTCCAGCTTTTGTTTTTGCTTTTGGTATGGATTGGAGGCAAGACACTCATGGACTTTTCAGCCCAGGATGGCTTCGAGCCTCAGACCTCAGCCTCCTGCGCAGTTAGGATTACAGGTGTGAGCCCCCAGTGCCCTGTTCCACGACATCATTTCACTGCTGGTTGCAGAGCATTTGCCCTGTCATCTCTCACTGGGGTTTTTGTTCATGATTCCTGCAGGTCAGGATGCTGAGAGGCTTGTTTTGGACCTGGGCCAACGTAGTCTCACGATAGGTCAGAGGTCATGTCCATCAGACGAGGCTGTTTCTCTTTGCTGGCTAAGGCTGACCCAGAGATCCCCAAGGACTTTTAGCTGGATGTCTTCCCAACTAAAACCAGTGGAGAAGGCAGAGCTGTCATAGGACTGTTTGGAGGCCTCGGGAGGATTGATTGGGTGATCAGCGGTGACCAGCGGTGACTGGAGCAGTTCAACGTGGCAGCAGGCAGCAGGCATTGCTGACAACTTTCTCCTGGGCTTCTTGCATTGAGAACAGTCTAGGCTGTGCAGGAGGCCACTGGAGCAGCCCTGGTGAATCAGGCATCCACACTGCACATGCTCTGTGGGAAGCCCTGCCATAGTTGCTATGACGTTTGCCCCAGGTCCCGCCCCCCCCCCCCCCCCCCTACCCAGGCTTGTGGTATTATTCTCTGGGGTGGAGTACCTGCCTACCTTTTTACCTTCCTCTTCCCATCTCTCTGAACCCCTGAACCCTGGTGGCACCAGCTTCTTTTTGCTTCCCCCAGAGACAAGCAGGTCACTCTGCCCGGGGGGCTTTGCCTTCCCTCCCCCTTTCCTTCTGTCCCCATTCTTAGGACTAGTCTTTGCTCATTGTCCTTGGTAAGCTGCAGCTAGGGTAAATTCCTTCACAGATCTTCTCCACCTCCACCTTGCCTGTCACTGTCAACGCAGCGGGTGGAATTAGGTGGTTGTCTGTGTTGTTTGAGCCCATATAGCTTTCACTACACCGTGATGGCTTGCTTGGGGCCAGGACTGTGGCCATTTTGCTGCATGTGTGTGTGTACATTCCCTGCTGTGTAGTGGTAAAAGGTGATAACTTGCCCTAGGTATACAGTGAGCCCCTAAAAACATTCTCAGGCCATTAAGGTCCAAGTCCATCCCTTCTGATCCCACCTCCCACAGAGGGGGCTGGGTCCTCTGTCACCACCTTCCATCCCTCCCACAAGCCTGAAAGAGCACGCCCACCCTCCCTTAAGCCAGTGACGTGCTCAGGCCCTGTGTGACATTTGTCACAATTATAGTATTTGTCAGGATGGTTCTTGCAGTTTTTCATACCCAGGGACGAGAAATGCATGGGAGGCAAGTTCATGAACTTGACTTGCTCTGATCATAGCTCACATGTAAGATCTCAAACCTGTAACAGTCTTTTCAGCCTCAGTCTATTCTCTGTAAAAGGGAAATGGGGTTTTGTGCTGTCTTGTGACTCCTGGGCTGTTGGAGAGAGATCGTTTGAATTTAGGATCTTTAAACTCTATTATAAGTCATGGGCCGTAATGAAACATCTATCTTTGAAAGTAACAATGAGGCCAGGTGTTGGTGGCTCACGCCTGTAATCCTTGCTACTCAGGAGGCTGAGATCTGAGATCTGAGGTTTGAAGCCAGCCTGGCCAGGAAGCCCATGAAGCTCGTATCTCTAGTTAACTACCAAAAAAGCCAGAAATGGAACTCTGGCTCAAGTGGTAGCGTGCTAGCCTTGAGCAGAAAGGAGCTCAGGGACAGTGCCTAGGCCCTGAATTCAAGCATTTGTGTGTGTGCACGCACACAAACACATGTACTCATATATGCACGCACGCGCACACACACACATATACACACAAAGTAACAATGGGTTTTTATGAACAGCATGTTCATGTTACATTCTGGACAGATAAAAAGCAAGTGCTAGCTTTTATCCAACAGGCCAGGGTTTCCAGAACTTGGGGAAAAGGAGAAGCATCATTGTGTATTTCTGGGGTGACCCTTTAAGAAAAAGAAAATTGACATGGCACGTTGGAGCCCAACTCCCTGAGCCCTGGCCACACCTTGCTAAGCAGCCACAGAACAGCAATTGTGTTGCTTGCTCTCTGTTGGTTTTCTCCGTTGCATTTGGTCCCTTAACTCTTCTCCTGATTTTCTTGTCATTCCAGAGAGTTTTGGAAAATGATGAAAATGTTGAAGAAGGGAATGAAGAAGAGGATTTGGAAGAGGACATTCCCAAGCGAAAGAACAGGACCAGAGGCCGGGTAAGTAGAGGAAGGAGACTAGAGGCTGAAGCCTGCAAGCAATCAAACCCTGCCTGGATTGGTTGCAGGCCCCTTTGTACCTTGATGGACACCAGATGTGTGGCCTTACTTGGAGGGGTATTCAGTGGGTGACTCCAGAAGACACTAGCTCAGAGTGGTAAGAGGGAAGAGAGAGAGGCCGATGAGGGGCTGGTGGGTCAGGCGAGAGTGTAGGGGTGGGCTGGGTGAAGGCAGAGGACAAGGCTGCGAGCTGTCTGTCCAGTAGCCCCTGTGTTGGCCCCAGCGTGCCAGGATCAGGATGCCTGCTCTGGGGTGTACTTCCCTTTGCGGGGAACAGAACCCTGATGGTCCCAAGTATGTTTGGCTTGAGCTTTAGAGACATTTGGTCGTGGGATGGGCAAGAATTGGGGTCAGAGCTGGGCATGGCAGAGGGAACTGTTGGCAGGAATAAAGCTCAGGCTGGTGCCTGAGTGGAGAGCCAAGCCCGGTGTTGCTTTCTGGCCTGCAGGTGGGTTCCTAGCTCAGCACAGAGGCGTCCTGTGTCCTCTTCAGGGGTCTTCGAGGGCATCACGTGGCAATCAGGTGGAGAGCGCCCTCCCATGGTGGGCTGTGACTCCACACCAGCAAGTTCACACTCTTAGGCCTCAGGGTCTGGCTTCTATGGACTCTAGGCAGGGCCCTCCCTCTCAATAGGGAGGAGGTCAGTCATGCGAACCCTGTGGCTTTGGTCTGCTTGTAGTTGTGGCAAGCCTCCCTGCCCTCCTGCCCCCCCCCTCCCCAACACACTCCACTGTCATGGTGTGTGCTTCTTGAAATGGGACTTAGACATTCTGTGCTGAGCAATTCTGATTTAGCAGGTCTGGGAGCTGGCCTGTAAACCACTCTGGATATTCATGTTTTGTCTCATGAATTTTTTTCCCATTCTGTAGGCTGTCTCTTTGTTCTGGTGATTGTTGACTTGGATGGACAGAATCTTTTTCTTGTGATGCAATGCCACATGCCAATTCTTGTTGTTCTTGTCGATGCTGTTCAGAAATGTGCTGCTACTCCCATGTCCTTAAGGGTTTTCCTAATATTTTCCTCTAGTTGCTTCAAAGGTTCAAGTCTTTGGCCCATTTTGAGATGATTTTAGACAAGGTAAATCATAGGGGTCTAGTTTCAGTATTGTACATGTGGATATCCAGTTTTCTAACACCATTGACTGAAGAAGCCATCTTTTTTTCCAAAATATGTTTATAGCACCTTTGGTTGGGAATCAAATGATTGTAGATGTGTAGGTTTATATTTATTGCATCCACATGTCTGGTTTTGGTCTAGTACCATGCTGTTTGTGTTACTATGGCTCTGTAATATAATTTGAAGTCTAATATTGTGATACTTCTAGCATTGCTTTTTTCCCTCAGGATTGCTTTAGCTATGCAGGACCTTTTATGGTGCCATATGAATTTTAGGATTGATTTTTGTGCACATGTGCATGTGTGTCTATTCTGGGACTTGAACTCAGGGCCTGGGCACTGTCTCTGAGGTTTTATTGTTCAAGACTAGCACTCTACCACTTGAGCCACAGCTCCACATCTGGCTTTTTTGATAGTTAACTAGAGATGAGAACCTCATGGTCTTCCTGGCCAGGCTGGCTTTGAACTCTAGCTCTCAGATCTCAGCCTCCTGAGTTGCTAGGATTACAGGTGTAAGTCACCAGCAGCTGGCTTGATTGTTCTGTTTCTGTGCAGAGTAACATTGGAATTTTAATGAAAATTGCATTGAATCTAGGGTTTTTTGGGTCATATATTTCACAATATTCTGCTAATCTGTGAACATGGAAGTTCTTTCTGTCTTCTTGTGTTTTCTTCCATTTCTTTCTTCATTGTTTTATAGTTTGCATTGTAGAGGTCTTTTACCGACTTAGTTGAGTTTTTTCACTTTTTGCGGCTATTATGAATGGGATTGTCTATCTCATTTCTTGCTTAGCCTTTTCATTACTGCTAGGTAGAAAAGCTGTTAGGTTTTGTTTATTGACTTTTTCTCCTGCTATGTTGCTGGAAGTGTTATTAGATCTAAGAGTATTTTGGTAAAGTCTTCAGGGGCTTTTCAGTATAGGATCATATCTCTTGAAAATAAGGATATATTGACTTCTTCCTTTTCTATTTATATCTCTTTATTTCTCTTGCCTTAATGTTCTTGGTGAGGACTCAGACACTATGTTAACAATGGAGATATTACATCTTGTCTTTTTCTTTCTTTTCTTTTTTCCAAGTCCTGGGTCTTGAACTCAAGGCCTGGGTGCTGTCTTTGTACTACTTGAGCCACTTCTGGCTTTTTCTGAGTAGTTTATTGGAGAGAAAGTCTCACAGACTTTTCTGCCAGGGCTGGCTTTGAACTGTGATCTTCAGATCTCAGCCTCCTGAGTAGCTAGGATTACAGGAGCCACTGGTGCCTGGACTCCTTGTATTTTTCAAAGGTAATTTCTCAGGTCATTTTCTCACTTAAGTAAATGCTTTAAGTTTTCTCCTACTTAATTTGGTGTTGGCTATAGGTTTTAGAACAACATTTCTTCTATTTCTAGTTTCTTCAGTGCTTCCTTTTTTAAATCATGAAAGGATGTCGAATTTTGTCAGAAGCTTTTAAAGCATCTTTTGAGATGACTATGTGAATTTTGTTCTTTATTCTGTTAATGTGCTATGTTTATTAAATTATAAATGTTATATTATCCTTGTATCTCTGAAACAAAACTTTTTAGTGATCTTTTTAATACATTACTGAATCCTATTTTCATGTATTTTATTGAGTATTTTTGTGTTTATGTTCATCAAGGAAACTGGTCTGTAATTTCTTTTTCTTATTGTGTCCTTACCTGGATTGATAACAGGGTCATGCTGGATTTATTGAATGAATTTGGTAGTGCTCCTTCCCTTTCCATATTATAGAATAATCTGGGGATCATTGGTGTCAATTCTTTTAGCAGTGAATCTATCGATCCTGGACTGTGTGTGTGTGTGTGTGTGTGTGTGTGTGTGTGTGTGTGTGTTGGAGACTTTTATGACTAGTTCAATTTCATTGCTTGTGTTAGATCTGCTTATGTTATGTCACTTTTGGAAGGTTATATGCATCTAGAAAGTTATCCATTTCTTCTAGGTTTTGCAGTGTATTAGGATATTAGTTTTACAAATATGCCCTAGTGATCTCTGAATTTCACTGGGTCTCATGCTTGTCAAACAAGTTCTCTACCGGTTGAGCCAATCCCAGCCATTTTGCTTTAGCTTGTTTTTAGACAGGGTCTTGCACTTTTGCCTTGATCAACCTTGGATGGATGTTTTCAGCCTGAGTAGTAGATTTACACATGTGCACCTCTATACCCAGCTTGTTGCTGAGACAAGATCTCACTGGTTTGTGCGGCTGATTTCAAACCATGTTCCTCTTATCTGTCCCGTGAGTAGCTAAAATTCAAGATGTGTGCCACCACACCTGGCCCTCTTTGTCACCTTTCTGTTTTTCTGTGATTTTCAGCTGTCCTGTCACCTCATCCATGATTCCCAATGTTCTTCCTTTGTTTCTTCAGAATAGACTCCTTTGTTATGCTGACTCTTCTCATTTATAGAGTTAAACAGAGGAAGCTTACTATCCACCATTTTCCCCTTGCCTCCTGGGATAAGGCCTTAAACAAATTTCCAGGTGACCAGTGCATGAAGGCCAGTATTGTGCACACTGTGAGCCAAGAGGCAGGAGCTGGCATTCTGTCTGGGGAGGGCAGGTTTGTACTGGTGCACCCTTCAGAGTTGTCCACAGTTCCATCAATTGCCATTTCAACTGTTCCATCTTAGCCATTCTCTTCTCCTCCTTTTGTTGGTTCCTGTGTGTTTGATTCCCTGTTCCCCTGAAGTAGTTGGAAACAAATGCTAGACCTTTGATCATCTACCCCAGTGTATCTAATAGCCATTCTTATACCTGGTAGAAGTAACTACTGATCGAATGTGTACTCTCCAAACCCTGATAACTCCCCCCTAATTTCTCAAAAAATGCCTTTTGATGGTTGGTTGGTTTGAAGCTTAGACCTTACTTAGTCCGTAGCATCTCTCTTCCTCATTGAATGCCATGACACATATTCTTTTTCTCACGCCGTTTGTTTGTTGAAGAACTTCGGTTGTCTCGTGGAATTGTTCTTTCTAGATTTGGTGGCATGAGGTGGTGGTGTTTAATGACTACTTTCTCCTCTGTTTCCTGAAGCCAGTACAGTGGTCCCCCTTTCTGCAGTTTTTTAATCTATTAGCTGTAGTTACCTGGAATCAATTAGAGTCTGAAAATATTAAATGGGAAGTTCCAGAAGTAAACAACTGGAAAGTGTGAAATGACATGCCATTTTGAATTGCATGATGGCATCCCATGCTGCTGTCTAAACTCTGCCTGGGGCGTGAGTCATGCCTTTGTCCCTCATATCTACACTGTGAACACCACTTGCCCGGTAGTCACTTAGTTATTGCCTACAATATCAGATCAGGAGGTGAGGGAACATGTGGACCTTGGGTCGTATGAGGCCTGTGAAATCACTTGGCATAGGACAGCACATGCATGTATGCTTCTTGTCAGATGCCTGAGGCCTATCTTCCTGTGTTAGTAATTTTGTTTGACCCAAAGATGATGGCAGAAGACTCATCTTTATTTTATTTTTAAAATTTATTTTTCAGTGCTAGGGATAAAACCCAGGGTCTTAAACATGCTAAGCATGTACTCTACCACTCTGTTTCCACCCACCCCACCCCCATCTTTAAAAACGTGCCATTTCTGGAAGTGAGAGCCTCATTCCATATTGTGTAGCCTTTGGAAAACAGCATTATGTAGTTGGTAGAAAATGAATGAAAAAGACAAAATAATGTTTTAGAGCGTTATGAGAACCATTTTTGAGGCATAAATAGTGTATATCAAACATATCACACCAGGAGTCTGTGGGTCTTGAGGATATTGGAGAACTTGCTGATTTTCTTCTTCAAGTTTTTTTCTGTCTGCTTCACCAGCCTCATAAAGTACTTCTTCTTTTGGTGGTAGATATGATCATCATTTTGACACTAATTCTTGGCCCACTATTTGAGAAGAACTGGTATTGAATAGCTAGTCCTAGACTGGGAATATCTGTCCTAGTTCAGGGTCTTCTAGCTGCAAGAAACTCAGTGGCTTAAGCAAAATTAGGGAAGATTTGACAAGCTGCTCAGCTATTGCCCCACATTGGAGTGATCTTTGAAGGTCCAACCATAGGAAGGGCAGAAAAGTGGCAGGAATTTAGCCATTTCTGGATTCTTATTCCTTTATTTTCTCTTTAATGACGTCTTCCTGACTTCTGTACACAGGGCACCATAGCTCATGGATTTATCTGTTTGTACAGTGCAAGTGGCTTGTATTAACAAAAGTCATTGTTTCCAAATTCTAAGCCTCTTGGAGGTAGAATTTCACTAGTGAAGCTTGAGGGTAGAAGTTGATGGGTCCTGTAATTAGGTGACTACTCCTGAGCCAGCCAATCTACTGTAGTCAGTGGAGCAGGACCAGGTAGTCTCTATCATGGCTGTTGTGGCCTGCCATTGTGTGTGTGTGTGTGTGTGTGTGTGTGTGTGTGTGTGTGTGTGTGTGTGTTGGGGTGGGGGTGGGGTGAACAATTCTCAGGGGAGAAGATGGTTTCTTTTGGAGAGTCAGATCCTGCTGCTTCTGCAGACTCTGTGTTTGTGGATAAGTCATGGAACCTGCCAGAACTGTTTCATGGGGTGACACATTAGGAATAATGACGATTGATCAAACTCATAGGATTATTGTAAGAATTAACTGAGCTAATATATGTGAAGGAGCTTTGCATGCTGTGCGTCCAGTCTAGTGAGAAGTGTTAAGGGTTCATAATCAAATTTCCAATGTCATCGTTTAAATCCATAATTCAACAAAGAGAACAGCAGACTTGTGACTGTACACCAACCAAAGGCAACAAGACACCAGGGGAGAGGAATTGACATAAGCGCAGAGGGGGAGATCTATTGAGCACTTCCTGTGGATTTCGTGCTGTTCCCTATGGTTTCACACTCTGACCTCTAACCCTTTCAGCGACTCTGCTGTGCTGATTTTATAGATGAAAAAACGAAGCTTAAAGAAGCAACTTGTCCAAGACACCTAGCTATTGCTACGGTTTGAATACGGGTCCAGTGTGTTCTAAGACTTCCTATAGTGACCTGTGATCCCAATTCAAGGTGCAGAGGAGATAAAGACTTCATCTGACTGTAGTGTGGAGAGGTGGAGCCTTTGCAGGGTGAGTAGGATTAGATTAAGGTCATCAGGGTGAAGCTCCAAGAAGGAATCCTGGAGGCTATATAAGAGGAGGGAGAGATGCCAGAAGAGACACGTACACATGCATGCTTCCTGTCATGTGATTCTGTGCTACCTGGGAATTTTGGCAGCAAGAAAGCTATGACCAGATAAGTTCCCTAGATCTTGCCCCTCCAGAACCATGATCCAAAGCACATGTTTTGTTTATAAAGTACTTGCCTTAGGTATTTTGTTATTTCTTTTCTTTTTTTTTTTTTGGTCTGAGTCTATGACTCGGACTTGGTATCTGATGCTTTTGATCATTGGCTATTGCTCTACCAACTGAGCCATGCCTCCAATCCCTCGGGCATTTTGTTATAGCCATGAAAAACTGACTATGCTACTGGAGTTTAAACCTATGTCTATCAGACTTGAAAGCCATGCTGATTTTACTTCTCTGTGTGACCAGAGGAAGAACTTGGGAGGAGTGGGGTGTTAGCAGGCTAGGGCACAGATATAAAATGTGCAGGGAATATGCTAGTCATAACAAGGAGCAATAAAAACAAAGACATGGACATAGCCAGAGCCTGGTGTCAGCCTGATGGGAACGAGTTGCCATTGGGTGTATTGTAGGTGGCAATGAAAGACCGTGTGAATGAATGAATGGCCCAGGCTTTGGGTGCTTCTCTCTGCTGCCTAAATGGTTGAACTATCTTCATGCAGGGTGGGTTGGGCTGGCTAGTGTTAAAGACAGAACCTCAGCTGTTGGTCCCTTGGGTAGTTCGGAGTCAGCAAGTGCCCGGATTAGGCTATGAAACAGAAGGAAATGCAAAGTGTGCGATGGTCTTTTAGGGAAGAAACAATAGCATTTGGGTACAGAGAGTGACGACGACTAAAAAGAAACCACTCTCTGCCTGCCTGATCATCCGTTTGGTGGCCACTCCAGAGCTGCTTATGTAGCTGGCCCTGTGCCTACTTCCAAGAATAGCAGTGGCCCAGATAGATGGATCTCCTCCCCATCGAGGACTGAAAATCGACCCATCAACCAACATGTGTATACTTTGGTGCCACGCAATGTTAAGTGCGACAATGAAATATAAAAGCAGGGTAGAGGAAAGAGAAGGAAGGAAGGTATGAATGGGCAGGGATCAGGGAGAGCTTCTCAGAGGAGGAGGCCTTTGAGCAGAACTAGTCGAGTTGTCAAACCTGAGTATGGCAGGAGATGGTGATGGCCTGATCTCCCCCTCCATGCTCATGTCAATTCCATGACCTTTGGTTTTCATTTGGGAAAACAAAGGTACAGACAGTGTGGGAGCCTATACCCAGCTGGTCAGCCATGGAACAGGGGAATGGAAACCTGGCACTCCTCAAGGCTGCCCCTTATTCCCTGGAAGTGCCCCTAGAAGCCCTGGTGCTGACTCCTCCTCCTTTTCTCCCTTGATCCTTTGCTGGTCTCAGAGCCCTCCTCACGTATTTGGAGGCCCTGTTATTCTGCCTGACTTGAGTTACCTGCTCAGGGGTGGCTGTGCCAGGCCATGGGCTGCACACATCAAGCTGCCCCTGGCTTTACTGAGGCAGCATGTAGTGGGCCAGAGCAGTGAGGATCACCTCCCTGGGCCTAGTGGGCCTGGAACCCACCCCAGTGTACCAAGTGCATCGAGGCTGCACCCACAGGTCTGTCTTGGCTGACCCTGGGTAATAATGGCAAGGGAGGAGGGCTGTTGGCTGTCAGTGGGAAGGGCTGGATGGGAGGCAGAGACAGGGAGGAGGTGGAATTTTCTCATGTGGTTTGGAGAGAGACTGACTAGCTGAGGAGGTGGCAGAGGTGGTAGACAGGCAGGTGGGGTTGATGTGAAGGTCTTGATTGGCCTTGCCACTGCGAAATATGTGTATGTGGGCACAATGTGTACACACACACACACACACACACACACACACACACACACACACATTTCCCAGGCCTTTGCACTGAATGGCCTCCAGCAAGGTGTGTGTACTTTGTCTGTATATGAGTGTGCATGTGTGTGCACTCTAGGCCTTGCCACTGTGAAATCTGTGCAGCTACTGCTTCAGGCCTGGCCTTGGGTCAGCTTCATATCGCCTATGCTCCAGGCTTCTGACTCTTCCTCTATGCCTATAGACCTCAGCTGGCACTTTTCTTGACTGAGAGCTACTCATTGCCAAAGAATGACCTGGAAGAGGTAGGGGTGCTGCACATGTGACCAGTATGGGACTTACAGAGGTTTAAAAATAAGCCCTGCTGCCTTCCTGTAGCCACTGTCCCGGACTGCAGGGTTGCCAGCAGCTGCTTGGCCTGCCTTTTTGTTATTCCTGGAGATGGAGCTCATTCTCTCCTCCCTTCAGCTTCTGCTGAGCCTTTCTGCTACATGTATCCATTGTGTCCAGTCCCAGGACAGCATGAGGGTCTAGGTCTAGTCAGTGTCTGAAGGTCCAAGGCAAACTGCCCAGGGAGGCCTTGGCTGAAGCCCATCCCTACTGGGAAGGCCAAGGATGGAGAGGGAGGGTTGACTCATGCTTGGGCTCCAGATACTAGGCGTGGCCGGCTCCTCAGATGCTTGAGGATTGGGCAGTGTGGACACGGGAACCGAGAGAGACAATTGAAGTTACACTTCCTACCCCTTCAGGACCTGATCCCAATATGCCAGCTGCCTGATCAGCATGGGTAGCATGGTGGGTTTCTTCACCTTGTGTCAGTGGGCTTTTGGTCAGATCTTTCATCACTGGGACAAAGTACCTAAGAAAATAACTTGAGGGCAGAAGGATTCATTTTGGTGCAGGGTTTCATAGTGTTCTGTCCACGGTCAGCATGTTCCTTTGCTGTCAGCTTGAGGTGAGGCAGACCATCATGGCGGCAGGAGTGTGTGACGGAACAATGTTGCCTTCCTCATGGTGGCCAGGAAGCAGGGAGTGAGTGGCAGGAGGAAGGGGCCTGGGACAAACTGTAACCTTCAAAGGTACCGCCTCCCGTGAGTGGCTGCCTTCCTCGTGTGAGGATCCGCCTCCTGATGTTTCCACTGAGTAGCTGAGGCACGTTATCTAACTCCTCTGGGTCTTGGTTTCCTCATCTGCAAAGCAGGGTTGGTGTCAGTACCAAAATCTATGATGAAGGTTGCAGAAAAGGTGCAGGTGTTGCTTGCAGCGCGCATGCCAGGAACTGAGTGACGTCATGACCAACCTCCCATACCCTTATGTCTCCCCAGGCTCGTGGCTCTGCGGGTGGCAGGAGGAGGCATGATGCTGCCTCTCAGGAAGACCATGACAAACCCTACGTCTGTGACAGTAAGTACAGCCTCCTCTGCCTCTACCCCTGCCTCTACTCTTCTCCTCTATTCCAGCCCTGGTTTCCTTAGTTGCCAGCTCATCAGCTCTTGGGCCTTACTAGGTTTGTCGGCCTGCTCCTTCACTGCGATCACCACTGGCTCTGGTTGCCAATATGCCTGTACCTCTATGCAAGGGGGTCAAGCCTATCGGGGCCCCCCCCATCTCCATGTCCTATGTCTTCTTCATGCTTTTCCTCCTGTTCTCTCTCCATCTCTTCTAGGGTTCTCCCTCTGCTCTTCCCTCTGTTTTCAGAGACTTACAAACAAAAGAATAACGCCACACCTATTTATTTCCCTTTAAGTTTCTCTCTGGGTCTCTGGGTCTGTGTCTGTCTCTCTGTGTGTCTCTATCTCTCTCGCTCTCCTTCTTGTCCTAGGTAGAGCACATTAATAATCTTTCTATGATGATGAATCACTTTAACAAACGACCTTCCATCCATCTCCAGCCTTCCTTCCTTGCTTCAGAAACACTTTTTTGTACAGGGGACTGTCCAGCTCCTGGTTGGGGAATGGAGTGGAATCCTCAGTTGGAGATGGGATTGTGGTCAGCTGGAGATGGCAGCTTTTGTCTATGTTGCTTGCTGGGGTCTGGGGTGGTGTGCTCAGAATCCTTTCCCTAATTGCCTTCACACCATAGCAGGTGCCATCTGCCTGTTCCATGACCAGGGCAACCCCCACACCATACTCCTAATGGTTATCTCTTCCCAGCCCCTGTTCTGTCTTCTGAGGATAACCTGGAGAAGAGGCTCTCCTGAGGATGGCGGTGAAATAACACAGCACAACCTAGCACGGTGTCTCTGGGTGTGTTAGCCATCTTGCTGAGGTCTATGATCGCCATGAAGGCAGGGAGAGAGTTGGGGAGAGGAGACAGGGGCTACAGGAATTGTGCTGGAGCATTTTTCTTCCCTCTTCCTGGGAGTTCAGAATGCTGTTCTGTGCCCGGTGGGGTGACAGCTGGTTGGAGAACATATTGCTAGAAGAACTCAAACTCCATGACCCCTATTTGGCTGTTTAATACACCATGCAGATTGCCATTTCTGAGATGATGTTTGCAGGGAGCACCGCCACCCTGCTGCAGCTGTGCTCCAGGAAGAGGAGGGAGGAGGGAGCAGGGAGCAGGACACAGGGACAGGGTTGGGGGCAGGAGGGCAGATTGTGCCGAGGCTTCTTGGCACTGCTTTACCTGGGTCTTACTTCCTGGAGGAGGTTTGCTTTGGTCCTGGTGGTTAAAGCCCCAGTGTGCTAGCTCTTGAGAGACTGATTGTGGGCTGGATGTGTGTGTGTGGTGGGGGGGGTTGCACCCCCATGGAGCAGGTTTTCCAACAAGAATACCAGCCGCTCCTTGGAAACTGGGGCATTGCCATTCGGTCTCTCTTTTAATAAGCTGTCTTTTCAATTATGTGACGTTCTGCTATCACAGACAGTGGGATTAACGTTGCTCTTGCTCCCTCTCTATAGCTTTCATTAGATTCCCAGCCAGAACGGGTCCCACGTAGTCCCAGACACACCCCCTGTGCCCTCCGCCCTTGCCTCTCTCACCTCCCCATTCCTCTTCCCACCTTTGCGGCATCTTTCCCCTTGTCCATGCGTCCATGGAGCCTCCTCCTGCCTGCCTCTCCTCTTCCTGCACCAAGTGCTGGCACAGAGCTCCCGCCCCCAAAGCCCCCAAAGCTCCTGGCGTTGCTTACAGGCTCTGAGTGCCATTTGCTATTTCCTGAGCCCCTCCCCACAGGGTCTCTTCCTCCTTCTGTTTACCCTGTGGGCTTGGGAGGCCTCACTGCAGGCTGTCACTGGCTTTCTAGAATTCTAGCATAACTGCTCTCTTGGCTCAGTCTGCCCATGTGCTTCCTCCCTCTTCCTCTCTCCGCAGCAAGGGCCACTGTGGAGTTCCCATCTCCATTCTGGTTCTCTTGAGGGCATTGTGTGGCAGCTCAGTGATTAATAGATTTTATTTTTATCTGGTGCCCTTCAGACATGTGATCCCCTGGGATAGAAATGACCTTTGGAGAGGTCATGAGCGCCCCACTCTCAGCCCCCCGCCCTGAACTAGGCAAAGAATACTTTTAATCATCTCTAATGCATCCTAAGTAGAGAGGTGTCTGGTCGCCCTTCTTGAATGTCCCCAGGGATAGTGTTACCATAAGCTGCCCTTTACTCATGATTCCAGCTGTGCGCTCAATGATTCTTTCTCCTTAAGAGTGGCTGGAGATGTTCTCTCCAACAGGCCCCTGGTCCTTTGCGCATCTTTGCCCAACAGAAAGACACACAGCATTTTCGTCAGACATCTTGTGTAGTTTTGGAGGACCTGGGCTTTCACTCATCATGTCTGTGCTGTCCTCTGAGTCCCTTCTGGGGCTACATTTAAGCGCAGCACCCCCATTGGAAGTAGCATTGAGGCAAAGTGGCTCAAAGAGGGCCACAGGCTTTCTCTAGTTTGCTTTGTACACCAGCTCTTAGCACAACCCACACCTGCAGAGAACATGCCGCTTCTCAGTGGGTGCCCGTCTGCCCCATGCCAGGGTCTGTCCTGGTGGATGCACTTTTCTATTTATGTATTCGATCACCCCACCCTCCATAAATCACACTGCATTTGTCCCTATTGAGCCTCAGTAAACAGAATAGCGTGTGACTTCAATATACAAGATTCAATAAAGGCAAATTTAAAGACATTGCCCAGTAAGTTCAATTTCATTCTCCACAGATTTGCAATCCCTGCCATTTTGGTAGCGTCTGTGGTTTGATTTGCATAATTCCCACTCCATCTTTTGAGTTATTTACAAAAATATTAGGTCACCTTGGACCCCAACACCTCTCTCTGCTTGCTCTGGGTTTACGTGGAGTGCTAATAGCCACTTTCCCGATGTTATTATGTTTAACCCTTTCTGGTCTGTGTTACTGAACATAGGCATCCTGTGTTATTGTGGGTCCATACTTACCTTCCAGGTGGTTGACACGTTATCTGAGCTGATAACTTCAGGTGATTGCTTCTTGCCTTTGACTCAGCCATTGAATTTGTTCCAGAAAGGATTAAACCATCTGATTGTAACTTGTATTTTATCTAGTCTGTGGTGTGTGTATGAATAATTCGTTTTCCAGCCAGTCACCAGTCTATTAATTATCTTGAAAGTTTACTTAGCTTAGGGATTAAAGATCTGTTTCATCTCTCATGGTCTCTTGTCAAGAAAGTGTTCATTACCCACAAACATAGTAACTGAGTAGGCCTGTGTGGGGAAGGCTGTCAGTGTTTGTCAAAATGGGAAGTAGACCACTTACACAGATGCTTATTAAAGTGCAGATTCTGGGCTCACCTAGGACTTCCTGCCTCAGAATCCCAGGGAGCAGGCCTGGAACCTACATTTTTGGAGTGCTTTTTAAAAAGTCATGATTTTTCTGTCTGTCTCTGTCTGTCTGTCTGTCTCTCTCTTTCTCCTCCCCTCCCTCCCCGACTCTTTCTTACTTGAGAACTGAGGTTTGAACATGATTAGCAAGTATATGACCACTTAAGGAGCATTCCCAGCCCTTTTGATTTTAGTTTGTTTCTCAGACAGGATCTTGGCCAAGTTGGCCAGTTGATCGGGAGCCTGCTATCTCTCTGCATCCTGAGGATTACAGGTGTGAGCCATCACACCCAACCTCAAGGAATTCTTAGATTTGAGAGTGACTGGTCTTCTTCACTCAAACTTGGCTTGTGATGGCTTAGGCAAAAGACCTATTCCTGACAGAAGACCCACCTTTCTGTATTGTTGTTCAAGAAACATAATAGGAAAGAAGATAGTGATGCTGGTGTGATCTCAGGGCAAATATTCTGTCTCTAAGTATTAATCGCTCAGGGAGGAACAAAGCAAACAACTGCACTTTTGCTGGAAACAGTAAAAAGGACTCCCCCACCCCAAATTATTGTAGCAATTTTTAATAGTTGGTGCTTGCAATGTGAGAGCACTGTATTTTTTTCATAGACTGTCTCAATAAATCCCTACATTAATCTGTAGACATAACCACAGCTGATTTTACTTTTCTTCAGAGAGGTAGAGAGACTTGTCAAAGGTCACACAGCTGGCTCCTGGTAACTCTGTAGTATAAATCCTAGTTTCTTCAACTAGGATTGTGTAGAACTGACACAGTCTAGTACAGCTCCCAAACAAACCCTTGGTTTGATGTGCCCTCCTACCTTGGAATTCTCCTGAGAGCTGAAGGGGAAAAATTTGTTTTAGAAGTTAATTTTGTCTTTTTTTTTTTCTTTTGCTGGTCCTGGGGCTTGAACTTAGAGCTTGGGCACTGTCCCTGAGCCTCTTTGTGCTCAAGGCTACTGCTCCACCACTTTGTGCCACAGAGATATTTCTGGCTTTTTCTGAGTAGTTTATTGGAGATAAGAATCTCCCTGACTTTCCTGCCTGGCCTGGTTTTGAACAGTGATCCTCAGATCTCAACCTCCTGAATAGCTAGTATTATTACAAGTGTGATGCCTGGCTTAGAAGTTAATTATGTCTTAGAAGTTCTAAATAATCTTATTTATGAGGCAAAGACCTGTCTACTGTTGATGATGGCTTCTAGGCGTCCGCTTGGTCATGCAGAGTCAGGTAATAATTGTAGTTCAAGTGGAAAGGAATGGACTGGATAGTTTCTAGCCTCTTACATTTAAATCTATTAAAATCACCAACCCTCCCCCTTGGGCATCTGGGTTGACTGTTGACTTACAACAAGATGACTGAGGCTCTCCCAGGAACTCACGCCTGGGCTACTTCCCATGTTCACACACGAGGAGGGGTCCTCCCAGCCCCCTCTCCCTCCTCAGTGGAATTGGTTCTTTACCACCCTTCTCTTCAGATATGGCTTGTGATAGAAACTATGACCACTAGATGGCTTCCCTTCCAGGGCCCCGGTGTGGGCCGTGTCAGAGTCAGCCTGGGGGTCATTCCTACCTGGTATAGAAGGAGAGGGAATCAGCCTACAGCAGAGTCT